GCAGAATTGAGGAGCTCCAACACATATTACTTCATACATAGAAGACACATAAGCATTAAGAGCAGTATATATATGTGTGTATATAAAAGTTCACACTTAACAGTGCATTCTGCAGTAATTATTGCTACTAACACCGAACACATCCAAATACCACACATGTTACACAAGATGCCATTCTCCATATTGAACAGAAGATATAAAAACCCCAAAATACATTGTCAATGCACAACTTGCGGCTCAGGGGCAGCTGGATAGAATTTGCTAAACCCTCTGATCTTGTCTTATGGGTTAAGTGTTATCTCTTTCCATAGTGCAGTACATCTGTGGTGACCACAAAGTCTCGTTGATGCGCAGTCTACTGCCAAGAAGAGCAGACCAGAGTCCTCTCCAAGACACATGACGCTCCACTAGCACAGCAGATCTGGAGCGAAGACCATAGGAATGAAATCACTCTAATGCAGCTCGGATTTATTTCATGTCACACTCATCAATACCAGCATCAAGTTTACACCAGTTTTAAGAACCAAAAGATAAAAGAAGGTGGCATAAGAAGGAGCAGTTTTTGGCTCTTGACTAGAAGAGAAAGTAAGTCCTATATTACAGTTTATCAAAATTATAAACTAAAGGCACAAGGAACTAAACATCTCTCTCTAAACGCTTCTAACACATAATATATCAAAATAATTTGTTCTTCTCTGTTTCTGATTGGGATTTTATTTTGCATTATCATGGTCTAATTTTTTTTTCAATATAGGCTTCACGCAAAGTCCTCACAGCAATCAGTGGACATATGACTTTTCCCTCTGTGTCTCCCTGACACAGGCCCAACACTTACACAGTATTCATTGACACGGCAGATGAATACTAGTGCAGCAAAACCTGTATGCTGAAGGATAATAAATTTGCCTCTCTTCTTTGATTTTTTTTCTTTTTTAAAAAAATTTTCATATGTGTTTCCAGGTGAAAATGGGTTGGAGTAAAAGAGCTCAGACTTATACAATTGCTAAACGCCTAAATCAAATTAATGGGAGCTAGATTAGGACAACCAACTCTGTTCAAGTCTGCTTTCTGAATAGCAGGACCTGTCTTCTCTCGGTTTGAGGTTCAGTTTTGATTACAAATTAAAGTTCTCATTCAAGTTCAAATCTAAATGCAGAACAGAATATAGGAAACCAACAAATACCTAACAAAACTCACACACACTGAGGTGTAAAATTAATCACACTTGCCAAAGTTATTTTCACCAAAGCAGGAGGAGCCTTTTGGGCTTAAATTCTGTCCAGGCTTTACGTGTTCTCCTGGTAAATCAGGAATTCTGGACCATCCTACAGCAGCTGGACACAACGGATGGAAACACGTCACAATATCAGTGCCTGCCCCTGCATCCCTCCAGGTACGTTTGGTCCTAGGTGCAATGGCTTGAGCTCAAGCTCTGAATTCCTTAAGAGAGCAAAGGTCTTTGCTGGGCAAGGGCACTGCCAGCTTTTAGAGGCACACACAAATGAACATATTATGGCAGCAATTCCTGTTACAGGAGCGAACACATTAAAAAGAAATCAGATAATTTCTTGTGCGAGTCCACGTTAAATCTCTCACAACAGGCTGGATTTCATATTTCAGTTTAAATGTATATATAATGTATATAAATGTTTACAATGCACAAATCTATCTTAAGAAGATATTTCACTTTTATGAAATCTTCTCAAATTTTCTATATTGATATATTTGTGATTCTTTAAATCAAATAAAACCAGCAGGTTACCTAGAGGAGAACACTATGTTACTGCTTTAACACAGAATTATGTCTTAGGTAGTATCAGCACTGAAGAATAAGAGCAAAGCCAAAAAAAAGGGGGGGGGAGGGAGAAAAATGAAGGAAAACATTTTAAAAGTAACAATTAACTGTCTTTTATGTCTCTGAAAAAAGGCAGCTATCTCAATAAGAATGGTTTGCGGCTAATGGATAGCAAACAGAAGGAAAAACAGTCTTTTTTTCTTCTGTTCCAGCCTTCCTTGCAGAATCAAAGTGCTGGATACAGTTCTTACATCCCTGGAAGATAAGATTATCTAACGACAAGCTTAGAACTCATCCAGTAAATCCAGCAAAGAATAAACAAGCAGATGTAGAGAAAAGGCTGCTGTTAGCAAATCTGAAAGCTTCGAGCTCTTTCAGATTAGAACTTTCAGAAAAATCAATTTATACATGATTTTTTGTTTGTACCTTTTTAAAACGACACTGCAGTCGGATTGAGGCAAGTTTACCATCTGCTGCAGATAGAGATACAGCTATATTCAAGAATTACATTATGCAACTTCTTTGTAAACTTTACATGCAAGCTGTTCCTGTCAGAATTCAAGTTGTCATGATAATGCATCTTAATATTCGAGCAGACTTAAATAAAGAGTGACGAAAGTCCACATACGGATGACAGGCTGTGCTCCAGTAAACATCATTGTATTTACTGAGAAGGGGCTTATGTCAGTTTAGGATACATTCCACCAGGCATTTCAGTCTTAACTACTTATAGACTAATAAAGCAAGTATAAAATCCCTGTTCCGAAATCCTCACTCAAATTTACAGTTTTTAAATTAACTCGATTATTCCTCTTTAGTTACGCTTTTACTTCCTCGATTGCTTTAAAACTTTTCCCAGCTGGTGGCTGTTGTAAAATGGAAGATTTTTAGTACTCTGTATTTTAAGCAAGGCTTAATTCTCAAATGATGTATCTATGGAAGAGAAAAAGCACATGCAACCTAGACTTATCATTTTAGAAAACCCTCTAAAGCAGAGCACAAAGTCCCAAAACTTAGCTAAACTCAGTAGAGCCACTTCCAATATTGCTAACCAACAAGGGTTAAAATATAAAGAAATAGAAAGTTCCTTTTTTCGCGTAGTCTAGTTAGAAACATAATTTACAGGAAAATTGAAGAAAAGAAATACTTATGACAACTTAGACCTAAAACTGTTTTTCCATTTCTCATCCCAATTTCAAAAGTTATGCGTCATGGCTTGCAATTAATACAGTGATGTTAACTGCTTACTACAAGCAAATTACACACTATTGCTTTCTTATAGCTCCTATATAAATAGCTCTATATAAAAGGGAAAATACATTTTTTAGAACACCTGCATGAAACAGATATATTCTTTGCAGTCATTGGGAAGCTTAAACGACGCTGCATTAACTAACAAAGTAGATGTTGCATCAATCTGTGGTCCCAAAGCGAAAAACCGTAAAAACAAATGCAAGCATTACTATGGGATGTTTTGGCAGGCAAGTGTGCATTATATAAGATAAAAAAATCTGCAGTGCAAAAACATAACCTTACCCTGACACTGGGTCAACAGCTATTGCCTTGGGGTTGCTCAGCTCGAGCTCGACGAGGGTAACGCACACGGTCCCGTTGCGACTGCACACGAAGATCCTGTCGCTGACGGGGTCTGCGAAGTAGAAATTCCCCGTGATCCAGTCGATGGCCATTTGCTGCACATCTGTCAAAAAACAAAGACAAAAAAGCTGAGCAGTGAAAACACCGCACACATAACTGAACTTCCAGATGCTTCGTTGAACAGATGCTGCCCTCTGTTAAAGACCTCATGCTTATTTTAAGATGAGATGCATACAAGGGTACAAAGAAAATAATTCTGAAGTCAAATACTGGCGAGTGATTTAGCCGCTGTTTTGAGAGAAATGTTTCTTTTTAAGCATGAAAGTCCCAGCACAACCTCAAAGCCATGAGAAGATACTCCTAGATTTGTAGCTTAGTGAAATATTTGAGATTTTGCCATTATTTTGGAAGCCTGTTTGGAAGCAGCATCGGCGAGTGCTGCTCCGCTACGAGGCAGGGAGTGAGCAGGACTACAGGGCTGGTGCATGTTGGCAGATCCCTGCGGAGAAGCAGCCGCCGTAAATCCCGGGAATTGTCAAGTGGTGTTTCCAGGATGTCTGCTACATCATCGAGACAGGACACTGATAACACATAGTAGCTCATTTCTACCTATTAATTATATGTATTATATATATTTAAAATGGACTAAAGTAGTAACATAAATACTCCAAACAAACTGAAAACATCTGCACACAGATATGCATTTAAAGCCATCTGTGCCAAGTTCACTCTTGTATATCACTCTTCATTTTAAAATGCACAAACTGCATAAGTTCGTTTCTGGAGTCGGGGGCCTAGAATAATCTTTCTACTCGTATACTAAATCCCATGTTTTTCTTGTTATTCAGCGTGTCTTATACTTAGTCTTAGTGCCACAGCAAACAGAAGCTTAAAGAAGTGTGTCTTAAAGAAAGAGCAAAACTTTCTCAGTGTCACCAACCTAAAATTCTTTTTACTTCCTATTCTTGTTCCTAGTACTGTATTGACATCACTATGTAACTAATTATTCTCAAATTAGTAACTATTGTAAAATTATTTTCCTTTAATTAGAATGTGAGGTATTTCTATATTTTTAAATTTTAAAAATTACTTAAAATACTTAAGTAATTACTTAATTACTTAAAATTACTTAAAATTACTTAAGTAATTTTTTAAAATTACTTAAATGCATACATACAATATGTGACTATGGTTTCGTTATATTGTTATAACTCTTGCATATTGACGTAAGTCAGATGTGATAAAATATGATTTCTCAAAGAAAATGGCACTTTCCATTTTCTGTATTTCTATCATCCTTCAAAGGTTGAGTTTTTAGAGGTTCTTTTTCCCTGCTCCTAGAAAAAACTTTTGCACCATCACATACATGCTGTATTAGAGATTATGAAGATTTAGAAATAAACAAACAAGCAAGCAAAAAAAAATCCTGAAAGCATTAAGTTTGGGACAGTGAGTGAGGGTTCATTCAATAAAGTGCTCAACACAGACATGGAGATGCACGTGCTGTCCTTCAAAGGTCGGCTAACATAAACAAGATTTATAAATCTCTCTGTAAAATCTCAGGAATAAACACCACCTTGCTTTCATCCCAGCCAACCCATTGCACAGCCCATTGCTACCTCCTCTCCTCACGTTTCCCTCCTCCCGCTACTCGCTTTCCTCTCAATTCCAAGGGAATATTGTGCCTCTTCCCTCGGCGGTGCTGAGCCGGGCTCCGGGAACGCTCCGCGGAGCCCAGTCCCTGCCTGGAGCCCAACGTCACCTGCGCTGACACAGTCAGGCCCTACAGGAGTCCAGACCACAGACAGGAAAAATAGGAGCTTTTTCACTGTCCAAACAACACGACACGCTTTTAAAACTACCCGAAATTACACAGTCTCCCACTATGCAAGCATTATTTTCAAAAATAAGCCTCCCAGGGCAGCACCTTGCTGCAATCCAATACGGAAGCGGGACATTCAGTGCACATGGGCATTTTCACTTGGTGGTTGCAAGACCTGGTTGTGCATTTCCAAGTGGGAAAGCTGCCCTGAGCTGGCTGTCCCTATTTTCGAGTTTTTTGTCTATTTTAATAACAGCTTTCCTTGGAGTATTTCTGCTAAATCTGATCATCCTTTCTTTATTGCTTTCTGAAAAAACAGAATTTCCTCTGAGGGACTTCAGAAAAAATAGCTAAGATGTCACATATGCAAAATTTTATGCAGTTAATGGCATTATGTAGCGCATGGATGCCAGTGCCTGTACACTTTTTCTTTTAACACACCAATACTGTTATACCACTAGAGAAAACAGCAGTTTTACATTAAATATGGGGTGGCTAAACCTTCTAAGGGTACAGGACGCACGTGTCCTACAGCTGAAACCCAATTTATGACAAGCAGACCCACACTGGATGACATGCACCTTGTACTGCATTACTATATTCACTTTATTTTAAATAGAGACTTGCACAAGAAGATTTCAGTGAACAGAAGAGAGGGGAAAACAGACAAAAAGCAGCACCATACTCTTTTTTTATACTGCTGTTCTAACTAAGGATTTAACATAAGTGCTGGCAATTAAAATTAAAGTATTAAAATAAATGTTAATGTTATTTTAATAACATTTAAAATATATTTTAAAAGTTTATTACATTTTTATAAAATCATTATTATTTTTTCTCTATTCATGAAATTCAGTAAAGCCATCACTTGCTTTATGCATGAGAAGTGGTCTGAGCAAATGACCTAGTGGAACTTCAAGCAGCTGGAGCCTTTCTTAGAAACCTCTGAGGGGATGTTCAGATCCAAGATTTTAGATGAAACTAAAATTAAAAATGCTCCAAAAATGGGTGCACTCCACATACGCTTCTGGTTAATGAATCAAAAATAGTAAACCTCTTGGTTTTGTCCAAGGAAGGATATTCTCTTCCCAGCATAAGTCAAACAAAATTTAAAATCTAAACTATGAGATGGCTTACAAAAATGAGGCACCATATTCGAGAGGCTTTGCCTTGCCCTCTGTTTCCTGAGTCTTTCTCTTTTTTTATTATTATTTTTTAGCATATCTTCCTTAGCTTTGCCTTGCCCTCTGTTTCCTGAGTTTTTATTATTATTTTTTAACATATCTTCCTTTAAAAAAAATGTTAAGAAGCTCTTTAATTTCTGCATGAAATGTGTGATTGCATAAGGTGAGACCTTGTGAACGTCTCTTTTGGAGACTTATACTCCTAATTATCGGCTCAGACATCTCCATCCTGACACTGTGGCATGGGCAAGCTGATGTTGGCATAGATTTTCCCGTGCCTCTTCTATTGTCAGTCATTTGCCATAATTATGTCTGTAGTTGCACTTACAAAGCATGATTTTTATTTAAAATGTCACTATTCAATAAAGCAGACATGCTGGTAGCTAAGCTTTTAACAACCATGCCCTGAGTGATTATTAAATATGTTTAAAAATGATAAAAGAAATGACAAATATCCATCTATCTTTTCCAAATGCACCGCCCTCAACTAATTCTTTTGAGAAATCAGTCCATTCTGACACTGTTTGTAAAGAATATAATGCAAAATATAAAATATATTAATTTTAAATAAGTACTTTAAAGCACCTGGATTTTAGATCCCTCAAAATAAAAGAAAGTTTTTCCCTTGCTTGATGAGTAACATAATTTAAATTTCAAAAAATTGTGTTATTGCCTTACAAATACAATTACCATTCTTCCAAACCTACAGGGTATTGGAAGATTCACACTTTTCAAACCTGTAAATGTGAATAAACAACAGTAGTTTTCCCAAACTTGACAGTTTTAGAAAATATGATCATAATCCAAATATTAGGAATACTTAATGGAAGCTTCGTGATGGCTCATGGTGACACCTCCTCTGGGTGCTGTGACCTACCTAGTCACTCAGGGATCCAAGCACTCGGCTCAGACTTGCTGCAGAAGCAAACACGACCGGGCACACATTCAACTGGGTATCAATCTCTTTCGGTTTAAAACAGTGTTTCTTCTAATGGATGCAGCCCACATATCAAGAAGAGAAGATCCACCTCCAGAAACTCTACACAATCTTGTAGTTTTGGAATAAGGAGTTCCAAACACTTCAAAGAACCCCTCACATTAATTTTGGAACATTGATGACAAGATACAGTCACACAAGCCAAATTTCTGAATTCTTAAGCTGTAGAGCAGATAGCTAAGGAAGTTTGCTGGTTTGTTCAAAACACAAATTATAATATTATTATAATATTCACACCAGTAGCTCTGGTCTACCTGCACCTTGCCTTGCAATAGTCCTTCTGTACACTTCCACTACTTCTAGAGAAGCCAGACCGTTCCAGGTTTTTATGGTTTAGTATCTCAGGCTGCTATGAAGCATGTTACCATGGATGGGAGTCAGGCAAAGGTAACATTAAGACATGCTGCAATGGCTGAGGTTGAACATGCAGCAGGTACCTCAAGAGAAATATAGGTTTTATTATAGATTTCCATTGTGGACTCTGGGATCACCAGAACTTAAAACTAACGAACCAATCAAATCACATTTTTTATAAAAATCCTCCTGCTTACAGAGCATTCGGAGGAAATGTGATGATGTTGGACCCCATGTAGGCTTGGCCTTGGTGCCTTTGCCAAAAATTTTACAATATAGTAATAAATGTGGTTCAAAATTTCCTAGCAACGTCTTTCTGTCCTCATAATGTGAAATGATTTTACCTCACAGGACATCATATTTGTGAAATGAGTAAAAGGGGGCCATTTTCTGTTCCTGTATCGTGATGTTTCATGTATTTGGTTGCGATGTCACTGGATGAAATGTAAAAGGAAGAAGAGTGACACGGCGAAATAACAGCCTGATGAACAGGCTTGTCTTTTCATCTGGTGTATCAAGAATTTGGTGGATCAAGGAACGAATTTTCTGCTGCCAATCTCATGTCAGAATCAAGCAAGAGGTGTCGAAAACCATAACACTGCTAATTTCTGCATTGCTGAGCTCCCAACACATTGCCAAATGACTGTAAACTTGTAACGGGCTCCCAGTAGCCTGCACGCGCGCTGAACAATAAAGACAGATTTACAGAGGTGCATTGCTGTAACAGCCTTCTTTTTTTTTGTTTC